ATTAAATAAATAAAAAAAAACGTTATTATAAATCTTATGTCTCATTATTTTTATAAAAAGAAAATTTTTACTAATACAAATATAAATTATTTCATTATTTTTACAATAGGTATCTTTTAAAATATTAAAATAACACTATAATTTCAAATACGTACCAGAATATGCCTGTACTCAGACATAAATTTATAAAACAATTTTTAAGAATAAGCAAAACATATTTTGTTTTATATTTGTCCGCATATAGTAGTATAAATTGATGGAAGCGTGTAAAATAAAACATTTTTCCCTAAATACTTCATTTATATATCTAACATATAAATGATACTATCATATTGAAAATTTATACTTTGAGTTTTTCGGTAGCCAAATATAATAACAAAGATTTAATAGGTTAGTTTAAATGACATGTTGATCATTTTGTTACGCTCAATTGAGATAGACTCAAGGATCTTCTTCAGCACCATGGATTGAATATATGCTTCAAGGGAGTCCTGTATCCCCAGCTCATGCAAATATTTTTTGTGGAACTTAGTTACCACCCCATCCCAAGTCATTACATAAGGAACAATCTTGGTTCTAGACTTGTGAATAATCCCAAGTTCATTAGCTAGTAAGTCGTATTTTCTTAGCTTTAAGCAGATCTTGATTTGTTATTCCTACCTCTATAATAATTATTTCAATTTTTTTCGTATCAATTACCAAGATATCAGGCTTGTTGTGGGTAACTTTAATATCTGTAGATATCCGAGTGTCTGCCCTTATTTCTGCATTCTCGTTCTTAAGGATCTCCTGTACGGAATGTGATCTAATTTTATTGGACTTTTTAAATCCGTATTTTTTGCAAAGAAGTAAGTGGATACATCTAACAACCTTATTATGTTTTCTTGTATAGTCAAACCCAATCATACAGTCATATTTAGTTGCTAGATGATCTACTGTTTTCCTTTGTTTTCTGCAGTGGGGACATATAGTCTCCTGACCGCAAAAGATATTTCTGTCTTCAAGGGAGCAGTATGTTGCCTCAGATCTAGCCTGATTATTCCCTTTAGTCAGCCAAGTCGGCGAGCCTTTAATGCTCACTAGCTCGTTATCCCTTACATTATACAACTTTTTATGGTTGTTTTTATTTTTAATTTTGTTATATAATGTTTCTTTTTGAACTTCTAAGATATCTCGTACTGACAACATTTGTTTACCGTACTTAATATTTAGGTATTTGTCTACTGCAGCAAGGTGTGTCTCATTTTCTTCTTCCACTTTAAGTATTGCCGAGCATCTTAGATTATTGTTTCTTGTCTCATTAAAGTTTTGGTTGATATCAAACAGCATGTATTCGCTTCTATGCTCTACATTAATGAGACCCCTACCCATTTCTGTTCTTGGAAAGTATAGCCTTTCTTTACAGGCTGGCTGTAGGTGGATATGGTGTTTGATTAACACCTGGCGANAGACCCCTACCCATTTCTGTTCTTGGAAAGTATAGCCTTTCTTTACAGGCTGGCTGTAGGTGGATATGGTGTTTGATTAACACCTGGCGAATTTGAAAGTCTAGAGCTTGGAAATCGCTTGGTTCTAATTGAATTACGCCAATATGATTATTTATTACTGAGATCGCATATTCATTTATCACTTTAATCATGTTTTTTCCATTTAGCTTTGTCTTGCATATTGTCTCAGTTCTTTTTAAAACTTCGGCTTTTACTTTTTCAAA